AGCAGAACAAAGGTTAATCAAGATATGGAGGGCATTGTTCCCCGTCGATGAGTTCTTCAATCTCTTGTGACTGCTGTTTTCCTGATATTTCTTGATTTTTCAATCTTTCTTGTGACTGCACAGTCTGCAAATAATTAAGAATACACAATTAGATATTGGCGTATGGTCACTATACAATTAGCACAATGACAAAACTGTAATGATGCAAGTCTTCAAGATTCTTACTAACCAATATACAATTGGACACAACGTTGTTGTTTTTAAAAAAAAATCTAACAAGTGGAAAGTTTGCAAAGGTAAGTGATAATACATGTAGAATTTGTCAGACCATGATGCATCCTAATATAGAGCAAGAGGGAAGTTAACAGGCTCATAACTATATATGAATCCTGCTGCACAGATATTGTATCAAATTCGACAAAAGGAGCTATGTGATGCATGAAGTAATTAAGGATCCCAATGGCCAACACTTAACTGCCTTGTTTCTGAATCATTCTGAAATTCCTACAGCCCGTTGCTTCAAACTGCAAGCTGTGCACAGAGGGTAAACAACACCACGAAAAGGGGACAAAAAAGAACGGAAGAGAGGAACAGGACAAACCGCGTCCCAACTCCAAATCTGGACGTCATGGATGGGCCTCTCAAAGGGCTCAGAAAGATGCAACAGATAGATGCGTTTACGGGCGTTCTTTGTGGCCAGATCGAGGCGTTGGAGTTGGGGCGGATCATGCGCCCCTTGGCGCTGCCCTGCCAGATCGAGTCTCTGGACACACCGCCGTGGCAGGTCGAAGCTCTGGACACCGCGCCCGCGCGGCCACGGATGGATCAAGCTCTGGGCGTCACCCCACCGAGATCCTGCTCTCCTAGACACGTAATAAATTTTTAACGCATATCATAGCTAGGCATTTGAACAAACTAACAAACATTTGCAGCAGATGCAGAGGATCGAGTGCACGCACCTTGTGGTCGGACTCGAGGCGGAGCCAGTGCAGCAGGGCAGCAAGGCGGCGAGGCCGAGGCGGGAGGTGGCGCCGCCGCCGCTTGAGCCGAGCCACTCGCCCACATCCTCCGCGCTCTCCTGCGCCTCTGCCATCCTCCGCGTTGGGCTCGGGCCGGTGCAGATCGGGCCACAACGCCGTGGGGCTGGCCATGTCTGCTTGAGATAAAGCCGCCGACGCCCCTAGGGGTGCCGTCCCTGCCTTTCGAGCCACGCCGACACTGCGTCCATTGTGTGTTGCCGGTGGGAGTGGGGAGGCTCGGAACGCTGTTGTTGTAGGATCCACCAACCGGTGCTTGGAGGGAGCCCGATGCTGGTTCGTGAGATCCAGATGCAAATGGGGGGAGCAGGTGGCAGAGGAGACGGGGATGGATGCACAGCGACGGCAAGAGGGCTGCGCAGACATGCGTCCTCTCCGGCTATATACTAAGGTTCGTGAGAGGCATGTCAGATGTCAACCATTGGATCTACAGATCAACGGCTCGTGGTGAGGAAGGTTCCAGCTGGGCCTGCAGATGTATTGGGCCGATCTCAAGTATCAGGCTAAAGGCGAAATAGATATTTTGGTCCCTAAAATATTGCCCAGAGCTGCAAATGGGGAAAAAAATTATTCACATGTAAATAATAAATAATACAGTACAAATTTTTATAATTATTTTTTTATAGATATATTTACATATACAATAACTAAAACAACTACAACAGTTTAAAATTCCAAAATTGAACCTTTAAAAATGGGGAAAAATTTAAATTTTAAAAAATTAAAATCAAAACTACTAAAATAATTTTGAGACACCAAATGATCTTAAATGAAAATTTGATAAACATCAAAGTTGTAGAGGTCATGAAGATCTACAACTTTTATTTTGGTCATCTTATCATTTGACAAAATTTGAACCTTTCAAATTTGAAATTTTAAAAAATGACAAGTTCGAACCAAAATTTGAGACCCAAAATAATTTCAACATAAAAAGTGATTAATACCAAAGTTGTTCAACTCATTAATATCTACAACTTTTATTTTAGTCATCTTGTCATTTGAAAAAATTTGAACCTTTCAAATTTGAAATTTTGAAAAACGACATGTTCGAACCAAAATTTGAGACCCAAATTGATTTCAACATAAAAAGTGATGAATACCAAAGTTGTTCAACTCATGAATATCTGCGACTTTTATTTTGGTCATTTCTTCATTTGACAAATTCTTAGCACACATTGTTCACTAATCTTATACATGTCTCATATAGTTTCTGAAACCTTACGAGAGATGTGTCACATTTGTGAACAATGTCATTACCACTTTGTCATATGAAGAAATGACCAATACAAAAGTTGTAGATCTTGATGAGTTATTCAACTTTGATATTTATCACTTTTTCAGCTAAAATCATTTAGGGTACCAAAATCTTATCTGAAGTTGCATTTTTTTAAATTCAAAATTTAAATTGCTCAAACTTTTCATATGTATATATTGATAAAACCAACAAAATAAATTGATAGAGAATGATTTTAGAAATTTTTAGGAAAAAAATCATCAGATTTGAAGTTAGTATGTTGAAGAAAAACTAGTTACAAAGTTGACCCACAGATTAAAAAAAGAAATCACACTGTTCACTATGATCATGTAAGGATTATCTAGAACAGTGTGATTTCTCTTTTTAATCTGTGGGTAAACTTTGTAACTAGTTGTTCTCCCTCATACTAACTCTAAATGTGATGGGTTTTTTTTCATAAAAATTTCTAAAATCATGCTTCAGCATTTAAGTTTGATCAAACTTGGATGTGACAATATTTTACACATTTTAAAATTTGAAATTTGAAATTTGATAAGTTCAAACCAAATTTTAAAACCTAAATGATTTCAGATGTAAAAGTGATGAATACCAAAGTTGTTCAACTCATTAATATCTACAACTTTTATTTTAGTCATCTTGTCATTTGACAAAATTTAAACCTTTCAAATTTGAAATTTTGAAAAATGACATATTCGAACCAAAATTTGAGACCCAAATTGATTTCAACATAAAAAGTGATGAATGCCAAAGTTGTTCAACTCATGAATATCTGCGACTTTTATTTTGATCATTTCTTTATTTGATAAATTCTTAGCACACATTGTTCACTAATCTTACACATGTCTCATATAGTTTCTAAAACCTTATGAGAGATGTGTCACATTTATGAACAATGTCATTACCACTTTGTCATATGAAGAAAAGACCAATACAAAAGTTGTAGATCTTGATGAGTTATTCAACTTTGGTATTTATCACTTTTTCAGCTGAAATCATTTGGGGTACCAAAATCTTGTTTGAAGTTGCATTTTTTTTGAAATTCAAAATTTAAATTGCTCAAACTTTTCATATGTATATATTGACAAAACCAACAAAATAAATTAATGGAGAATGATTTTATAAAATTTTAGGAAAAAAAATCATCAGATTTGGAGTTAGTACGAAGAAGAAAAACTAGTTGCAAAGTTGACCCATACATAAAAAAAAAGAAATCACACTGTTCACTATGATCATGTAAGGATCATCTAGAACAGTGTGATTTCTCTTTTTAATCTGTGGGTAAACTTTGTAACTAGTTGTTCTCCCTCATACTAACTCCAAATGTGATGGTTTTTTTTCCTAAAAATTTCTAAAATCATGCTTCAGCATTTAAGTTTGATCAAACTTGGATGTGACAATGTTTTACACATTTTAAAATTTGAAATTTGAAATTTGATAAGTTCAAACCAAATTTTAAAACCCTAAATGATTTCAAATGTAAAAGTGATGAATAGAAAAGTTGTTCAATTCATCAAGATCTACAACTTTTATTTTGGTTATCTTATCATTTGACTAAATTTGAACCTTTCAAATTTTAAAATTTGAAAAAAGACAAATGGGCACTACAGGGGCGGCTGGTGATTGAGCCGCCCTTACAGATCAGCCCCAACTGTAGGGGTGGCTCAGGTTACCAGCCGCCCCTACAGTGTTATCTCAGAAGTAATTTTGAGTTTTTTATTTTTTAGAGGCGTCCCAACTCCAAACCGTCCCTAGTAAAAATGCCCTGCGTTATGCGAATCTGGCGTAGTTTAATGTACAACTCTGCGTGACTATTGATTAATACGTTTACAACTGTACGTGATATATTGATGCATACATACATAAAACTTTGCGTGCATGCCCAACAAACGAGTCCAACATACATGAACACTGTTACAAAAAATGTACATGAAACTCTATGTTGCCATTTTTCATGCTCAACAAACGTATAAATGACAGCTACATATTTTATTAGAGGTTTCATCTCACTTATGTAACATAGTTCTAATCGAATTAGTATAATGTACACGCTCGATTATCTAACATGTTAGCGTATAACATGTTTTAGATCGTCAAAGTTCACGTCTTAATCAATATGTTAGTTGTTGATATTTTTCATATATATAACATACTCCTATTTTGTAATCAAGCATGTAACGTGATCGGTAACATGACTGAGTACATGAAAAAAAAATTACCACTTTTTTTAGGATAAAAATATCTGCAACATGAGCGGCGCCGTGTCACGGAAAGAAGGGCTGCGGCCATGCGCATAAACAAGGAAGGGAAGCACGCCCACTTGTCTGTTGTCTCCCGTGATTAGAGGGGGTTTTTGAGATTTTTTTTTTTTTTCTAAGTTTATTAACTATTTAGTTAATTTAAAAATCTAAAAAATTAATGGCTCAGATTTACTTAAGATATTACCTCCTAAGAAGTAAAGGATGTACCGTCGCATTGTCCTGTAAGAAGACCATTATGCATCTATTCTAATCTAACGACAATGGGCTCCTACCTTCTACATGTTTACGTGTCTTATTCCTTGTGTGTGTGCTCGTGAGAAAGTAACGCTGCAGGAAATGACCCCATCATATATTTTGTGACCTTAATTTATTTGTTATCCATTAACTTTCCATGGCTCCATACACGATACAAATCCCATCTAAGCACACACTTATTCACGCATGCACCTTCTACTCATGAACTCTCATGAATGTTTCCTTGGTGGGCACCAGTGATGAGAGCGGAACGGTCCAACCTGGCACACAAAATTCATATCATATTCTATTATTCACATTACATAATTAGACTATATATGCAAGAATAGTTTGAACATGTATTGCGCAACACAAAGACAGTATAATAATAACTTGTTTAAAGGAATGGTCAGTATATCGTACTTACTTCCACATTTGCTTCCACTTTCTAATGGCTTGCGGCAATCACGTGCAAGTCTTACAAGTTTAACCGCACTTATGTCAACTTCGTCATCATGGGTAAGATGGCGACAGATCACAGATGCAAGCCATGTCTGAACGTTCCACAGTTTGACGACACTGTCTGCTTGGGGGTTCATAGTCGCCATCAATTTTAATACTATTCATGCAGTGCTTCTCAACATCTTCTTTCTGATCATGACAATCCTGCTCACACCAAGCTTGATGTGTTGTAAGTATGGCAAAAGCCAAAGCAAACGTAAGGATTTGGAAAGTTACTTTTATAGCCATCCTAGATGTTACAAAGCCAAGTATTACTTTATGCCTAGTAATTCTCATGTACACCATTCTTCTCTAGACACTTCTATTTATAGCATATGAGACTCTAGGTTTGATTTATATTAAATGTGCAGGAATCTAGAAAATGGAAGTTTTGCATTAAATTTATCTATCTACTACTCCGTACCATAAAAAGAGTCGTCATAGGACTCATGCTCATCAAACGTTTATAAGTCTGACTAGGTTTGTATATCAACAATATTTATATCATCAAATAAGTTTATTATAAAAATATATTCAACGATCTATCTAATGATAATAATTATGTACCATAAATATTAATAATTTTTCTTTTATATATGTGATTAAAGTTAAAAATATTGACTTCTTAGAAGCGGGAATGATTTTTTTATGAGGCGAAGAGAGTTTCTGTCTGTCTGTCTATCTATCTATCTATCTATCTATCTCTACGGTTACTGCAACTGTGGAAAACGATGGATCACACGTTCTTGGCAGCTAGCATAGTGCTATGAGGGCCTGTTTGCTTGCTGCCAGCCAGGCAAGCATCTCAACCCTAGGCCACCAAAATTCAACGCCCGGGAATCTTTGCTTGGGCTAGACAGATTCTCAGTACACCAAGCAAACAGGCCCTGAGTGCTCATTTAAGCTACCATCATCTTTCTATCTGAAACTCCAACATCTAGAAATTTCCCACTCGTCCAGCCTCAGGTATTCAGCTGCAATAAATTATAAATCGCAAGAATTTTGCTTGGGACAATTGTCACTAACGAATAATATTTTTTCTGATAAGTCGACGGGGGGAGAGGATCCCCACCTGGTTGATTATATATTGATTGGCTCTCAAGTAGCCATATTGTTTGAAGTCACAGACATTTCACCCAAAGCTGCTAAAGTTTACATGATTACTAACGAATAATGTTAGTCGGATTGGCATCCATCACTCACCGCAGAAAACGCTCTCTCGCGGCCGTCTCCCTCTCAACCACCGCGAGAAATAACTGCACAGTCGATTTTGCGTAACGTGGCTCCTTGGCTGCGGCTCCGCTGTCGCACCGTACAGTGGACAACCCCATAGCTATCAGCTGGAGAAACGTTCCCTGCACGATCAGTACAGTAGGCCAGTAGCTCACCAGACAAAAGCTTACGCGTCAGAAGCATCTCCATAGCCTGCTGTGTGCACTAAAACCTACTATGCTTGCCTGCAGCCTTCTTGTTGCTTTCAATTTCAACCTTGCAATGGCGTTCAGAGGAGCTCATCAGACCGTTTCCTTTTCTACCTAAAGTTAGGATGAGCTTGGTTCAAAAAAACATCTTTTCTACCTAAAGTTAGGATGAGCTTGGTTCAAAAAAACATCTTTTCTACCTAAAGTTAGGATGAGCTTGGTTCAAAAAAACATCTTTTCTACCTAAAGTTAGATGAGCTTGGTTAAAAAAAAGTTAGGATTAGCTGACAGCTACGGGAGATGCCATCCTGACCTGCTCCGCCGTGGTTTTCTCCGTGGGGAAGCGGCGGCAACGGAGGTAGAGGGGCCGAGAGCACTGCGGGAGACGGTCGTGGCCATGGCCCATGGAGGCGGGCAGGCGGCGACAGCATCGCAGGTGAACACAGCGGGGCGGCCGGCGATGAACACGCTGAAGTCCTGACGAGTGACGATACAGCCTGCATAAACCTCGCTTCACTACGTTGTTCTGTTTGGGCCTACATGGGCCACACATGACACAACAAGCTCAAAATCGCAAGAGCCCAGGAGCTCTAGTGTCAACTGGCACCCAACAACCAGTCAACATTGTTTCCATTACCTCACTCGTCCTGCGTTTTTTCTGTGAAAATAAACAGATTTTTATGAAATTCCTGTATGCCCTGCGTTCCAATTCCAAAGGGATTTTATTGGGGCCATGGATACTTAGGTCAACCACCCAACCGATCTGCTTGGGTCAACATAACATAGGCCGCATGCCCGCACAACATTGTCTATCCACCGTGAAACATTTTCAAGTTCTTCAGGAATGTCATGGTTTTGTTTGCCAAAAACTCAGAATATCTCAGTACTATATCCGAAGACATCTTGAAACATTCAGACATTCAAATATCCAGTACTAATTAGTGCTATTGCAACTTGCAAGAGCTTAGGTTGGGTTCAGTTGGCACTAACGATACATCCATCGGCTTATTCGATTCCAGGAGAAACCTTACCTTCCCCACGAGCTCGCCCAGCAAAGCCTACGCCTACTGAATCCAAAATTTGCAGTACCGTGACGAAAGCTTCAGCCTCCAAAACTGCAGAGCTTCGGCTCTTAATTATTATGTCATCTCCCGAGCTCATTTTTTTCACTAACTCCCTAATAAGCTAAGATGAGCAGTCATGGGCATGGCTGCTAATGCTTGAAGTGCCTAACACCGGTGAGGACGAGCGACACGCCGTACTTGTTGCAGCACGCGATGGCGTCCTCGTCGTTCTTACTGCCTCCTGGCTGAGCGATGATTCCGATGCCGTTCTGGCACGCCTCCTCAACGGCGTCGTTCCAGGCTGCAGGCAGGAATTGACGGCCAAGTCACTCACCAGAAAACCAAGAACCCAGTAGCCTGATCAAGGTCCTAACAAAACATGAAAACAGGAATTGTGCTGCCTCTCACCAAAAGGAAAGAAGGCGTCGCTAGCCAATGCAGCTCCCTTGGCCTCTTCTCCTGCTTTCCTGAAGGCGATTCTGACGCTCTCTCGTCTGTTTGGCTGACCACTGCCCATTCCCAGCATGCAGTTGTTCTACAAACACAGTATCAGGTGGGCCATTTGGTGGCTTCAGTGATTAAACAAGTAGTACATATTAGCTTGCAAATTCACTTTGATAACAGAGGAAATCACAAACCTTGGCTATCACAATGGCATTGCTCTTGACATGTTTTGCGCAAAGCCAGGCAAATTTGGCATCGGCAAGCTCGTTTTCTTGCGGAGACCTCTCGGACTTTGTGGTAAAGGTGATCTCTTCAGGGGTTAGATCATCAGACTCCTGAGCCAACCACCCACCACTCACCTGCCTAAGTGAAAGCTTCCCTTTTCCACTTCTCTTCGCCTCGAGTATTCTCAGTGTCTTTGACTTGCCTCGGAGAATCTCAAGACCCTTATCTGTATAGCCAGGAGCAACCACTATCTCATAGAACATCCGTGTCTGACCATCTGTAGGACTCCTGAACTCACGAATTTCCTTCGCAAGATCCTAAACATATAGTAGCATATATAAATAGAAGTGGCCAATGATATTAGTAGTGAGTTAATAAGATGCAGTATGCTGAATACCTCGTCAATTATCGTGTTGAATGCAACTATCCCACCAAATGCACTGACGGCATCACCCTTTACAGCTAACCTGTAAGCTTCAAGAATGTCCTGTCGTGAAGCAACGCCACATGGATTTGTGTGCTTCACCACAACACAAGTAGGACTATCAAACTCTGATACGCAATTCCATGCAGCATCCGCATCCAAGTAGTTGTTGTAAGACATTTCCTGCAAAAGAATATTATTTATTCAAAGCTTCTTCAAGATATGTAGTAGGTTATACAATATAACAGGATTTTTAGAATCACATTACAGTTCAATTGTATGTAACTGACTAACTGGACTAAGCAGTGTATCTAGCAAGTTAGGGCCTGTTAGGCAAATTAAGTTTTGTACCATCCTAGCTGTTCTAAAAGTATAACAACTGCTTAGCTGCTTGAATAACTGAAGCTAGCCATACAAAATCTTACCTTTCCATGGTGTTGAATAAGATTGCCAATGCCACCAGCACCGACACGAGAAAGGCTCTTGTCAGTATAGAACGCAGCACTCTGATGAGGATTTTCGCCATACCGGAGTGTAGACTTCAGCTCAAGTGGCACAGTAAAGCTTGGGGGAAACATCTCTCCTACCAAAACATAACATGCATGCAGTCAAATAGCCATATAAAAAATTCAATCCGAGGCACCGGTGCGTAGTGGAATCCTAAGCCAGGATAGTAATGTGAAGAGAGGCAGAGGAAGACCGAAGTTGACTTGGGTAGAGGCAATAAAAGGAGACTTGAAAGGATGGAATATACCCAAAGACTTAGCCTTAGATAGGAGTGCTTGGAAGACAGCTATTCACGTGCCTGAACCTTGATTGCTTCTGATGGGTTTCAACTCTAGCCTACCCCAACTTGTTTGGGACTTTAAGGCTTTGTTGTTGTTGTTGTTGTTGTTGTTGTTGTTGTGTAGTAACCACTAGTGAGGAAATAGCAGGCTATACCAGGAAATAGCAGACTATAGCGACGCTATCAGTGTTTTGAGAAGGCTGCCACTAAATCCAATAGCCAGCTATTTACAATAATGAATTCAATTACTCAGCCTGTTACTGAAGCAGTACCTTTATTCGATTGCTTCCAGAACCATTCTGACACAGCAGAATCATAAGAGGCGACATGCTGGAAAGCTTTCCATGCCAACATCCTGCGGAACTGCTGATCCTCTTGATTTCCTTTAAGGTACTCCAGTAAAGCAGGATAATCATTATGATCCACCACAATAAGAACATCCTTATGGTTCTGTCAAAACAGCAATAAATTTAACAGAGTCATCCATAGTTAAAGTATGCCAACCATTTAGCATATCAATATTACCATTGCAGTTTATGTCCCAAATGCATAAATAAAGCTGCAATCATGTAGTAAGAGTTGCATGGTAAATGGTCCCAAGACCAGAAATAGTTACCTTGGCTGCAGCTCTGATCATTGTGGGCCCACCAATATCAATAGTTTCAATGCCATCCTCAAAAGAGACGTTACCAGAGGTGACTTTGTCATAAAAGGGATACAAATTAACCACAACCACATCAAA